TGAAAATAAAGATATAAAGGACAATAGATACACATGTAAACAATCATCCGAAATTAAAATAGATTAGTACTTACTGGCTATTGTGTTGTAAATAAGAGTTTGTGTATCACAGATGAATGAATGAAATTAAAGATAGAAAGGACAATAGATACACATGTAAACAATCATCCGAAATTAAAATAGGTTAGTACTTACAAACTTTTGTGTTGTAAATAAGAGTTTGTGTATCACAGATGAATGAATGAAATTAAAGATGGAAAGGACAATAGATACACATGTAAACAATCATCAAAAATTAAAATAGATTAGTACTTACTCTCTATTGTGTTGTAAGTAAGAGTTTGTGTATCGCAGATAAATTTATGAAATTAAAGATAGAAAGGACAATAGATACACATGTAAACAATCATCCGAAATTAAAATAGATTAGTACTTACTCTCTATTGTGTTGTAAATAAGAGTTTGTGTACCGCAGATGAATTTATGAAATTAAAAATAGAAAGGACAATAGACACACAAGTAAACAATCATCTGAAATTAAAATACATTAGTACTTACATACTATTGTGTTGTAAATAAGAGTTTGTGTATCACAGATGAATGAATGAAAATAAAGATAGAAAGGACAATAGATACACATGTAAACAATTGTCCAAAATTAAAATAGATTAGTACTTACTGGCTATTGTGTTGTAAATAAGAGTTTGTGTATCACAGATGAATGAATGAAATTAAAAATAGAAAGGATAATAGATACACATGTAAACAGTAGAAAGAGAATACTTACATGTGACTCCTTCATATAAGTTTGTAAAACTTTTATGAAGGGATCCGCTAACCAATCATAAAATGATAGAAAATAATTGATAAAATTTCTATGCCAGAGATGCCCCACCCTCCCTTATAACAGGTACATATGTACCTAATAGAACAGTATCATGTACAGTATCTATAATACTGGTAGTATGCTTCGCCCCCTGGGGAAATATATGTAAGAGGATTGCTATATTTGTGACTTGTAAATTGCAACCTCTTTCCTATGGGGCTCTGTAGGCTGTACCTTACCATTACTGTTTCACTTTGTCTAGAAAACAAATTAATCATAATATTTATGAAAGACTTTCCCCGGCAGTAAATGCATGCTTAGATCTATGTGATGCGTGGACAATTTGATCTTATACTTACTTCATCCTAAAAAAACAAATAAGATAATAATGATGATGATGTATGATGATGATCTACCATAATTTGAATCTTCTCTTCAGGTTTTTGTTCAGCCATTCTGCCACGCCTACCTAGATTTTATTAAATTAATTTTCTTATTTCAAAATGGCGAAAATGCTAAGGGAGAAATTGATCACCTATTACGAGTTAATCCTACAAGTATAACTGCTAATAAAGCTATTAATTATTACTTTTATTTAGGGCAAAGACCCCTCATCAAGGAGAAGCGACTTCTGGGATGAATTTTTTCTATTAAAAGTAGAATTATTTCTCACTTCTTTCTGATGTCAGCCCTTTGCCACAGGCTAATGTAGAATTTTTAGAAGGAGCTATTATGGCAATGTCTTTATCTAACCTCATGCAAATCAAAGTATACGCACACTAACTATCAATAACTTACTGTTAATAACTAGGCTAACATTAATAACTTGTTTATCCAGTGCTGCCGAATGCTTCAGACTGATGACAACATGATTAGAAATATCAATGCTTTGCAGGTTAAATAATTATAATCTGAAATCAATGCAATTGCTTCTCTCTCTCTCTCTTCTCAGACATTATGTGTATTAGTTCAGTCAATTTATTGTAAACATTCATCTTCTGATTCCAGCATTGAAGTGGTTGACATCCTGATTGGTGTCGATGCTGCAGACTGTCAAATGAGAGTATGTTCTATTTTTAGTAACATAAAGCACTCTCTAACATTCTATTTTTAGAATCTAATTGAGTGCTTATGCAAATTTTTATCAGAGGAATATCCTGGTACTACATTATACACTAATGCATATACCATGCTCTCTCTCTCTCTCTTCCAGTTAGTGTAAAGAACTTGTGCCTCAAATTCATACTCATCATCCTAACCTCAATTGATAACATCAGTCAGAATGTCATGCTGGAATATTTCATGCTCAACAGCATATTTGAAGCTCTCGTATCAACATTCTTTCATCCTGATGCTCGGGAACACCACGGCTATGATGCAGCTGTTGCCCTAGCCCTGTTAGTCAATTACAGGAAGCATGAGGTATTCATGTAGCATAATGTATGTACATGATTTATGTACTGCAATGTGTGCATGGTCATAGTACATTGTACTTTAAG